TTGCAATTGTTGAAAGAGATTTAAAAAATCAGTCATTCTTGCATTTTTTGTTTATTCTGTAATCATTGCTATCATCATTAATAAATATTCTAATAAGAAAAATATTTTCCATTGTGATGAATACATATATATATATATCAATTAGTGATGGAATAAAATGTATTGTTTTTGGTCAGTTTTGACAGCTGTTTGGGGGATTTGATGAGAACAAACTCTTTCTACTTTGCTGGAGGCCTATACAGAAAGGCTAAATACGTTAAAGCCAATAATCACTATAGCCTGACAGATGAACAAATAAAATTAAAACCTTATGAATAAATAGTATATCTCGTAAGATACTGCATGATCCAAAAATAGTATTGTTTAATAAATTTTAATAAAGTTTTCATGACATTTTAGGCATAAAATCCACGCTAAATCCACCCTTCTGATGGGATCAGTTTAATCCATGTTTTTTGGATCAAAGTGATCCAGATCCTACAAAAAAGGTCCGAAAAACCCAAACTAAAGGTTTGATCCGGATCAAAACAAAGATTGGATTACGTGATCTAATCCGATTATGTAATCCGTTTTTTCTTTTGAAAAACCCATTTTCAAGATTTGATCCAATCCCTTATCCAAAATCCTAGTGGATTACTTTTGAAAAACCGGGCCCAGGGGTCTCAAACTTAAATTGGTGGGGAGCCATATCAGTGTCTGACAATTCATAGGAGGGCCGCTTCAACTTTTAAGGGCAACAAAAAAGTGGAAACCTAATGTAATTGATGCACTCAGACAATCTTCCCCAATATATGCAGTCAAAGCTCCTTCTTTTTTTTCTTATTGGCGTGGTTCAAAGTTATTATTCTGTACCAATCGTTACTTAACCAAAAGCTTAACAGATGGGGCAAGAACAGCAGAGAGCGGGTAACTTTAGTGACTTTACTGGTAATTGTTCTTCTCAATATCTTTCTTTTTTGTAAAACTACACCAAAGAGTAGAAAGTATGGGACAGCGGGACACAAAGTAGCACTTTTTGGTTTTGGCAAAATAATGAACAAAGTAACGAGGCTAGACAAACTACATATTTTTTCATCAGCAAACACACAAGCCTCTCCTACAAATGAGCACTAAAAGTATGACCACCGGATCTATGGTTTCTGTGCAGTATTAACAAAAGTGGCAGAAGTAAAATGTAACTATTTACACCACCTGCGGGGCAAGTTGTCACAGACAGATGTTTAGTTGTAACACGTGCTTAAAAAGTCAGATTTCACACAGTTAATTTAAATTTAGTTTACTTTAAATAGTTTATTTCCTCTGTACTTAGCTTAATTTTTTTACATAGCACAGTATATTTATTTATTTATGGATTTGAACTTATTTCCATCAATATACATTATTATAATGCATTTATTTGCATTATTAGCAATATTTTTTTTTTTACTTTAACATGTTCAATTCAGCCAGCAGTCAAATTTGTAATATATGCATATGAGAAAAATATATTAAATGATACTATTTGAATCGAATATTAGCAAAATGCTCATATTTACACTACCATCATAACTTGTAAGCCATGGAGATGTGTTTGTACTACACAGGTGGCATAAAAGTGATAATAATCAAATAACCCTTAAATATTTTCATAAATAGAGCTTTAGTAAAAACAGAGCACTTAAGGACATATTTCAACGTTAAAATCAGCCCCAGAAACAATCCGCATGTGCGTTTCTCTCACGCTGAGAAAAAAAAACGAAAGTAACTAGAACAAATAGGCTACGTTAAATGTCCAGTAGGTGAAGGTCAAAACCACAAGTGGTTATATGCGACTGCACAACAATTATAGTGCGTTATAATTCAAAAATATGATTTGTTGGGCCGAATCTCATTATATATGTCAGTTGCGGCCTAAGGGAAGAGTTAAGGTGGCGCAAATGGCCCGCGGGCTGGCATTTGAGACAGCTGCTTTAAACGATAAAAAAAAAAATTAATAAAAGTGACTATTCGAACTTTTCAAGGTTAAAACTTGTTGAAAGAACGATCCATTAATGCAATTCAAAAGCATAAATAAAAGATTTTTTTTTTAAATACATGAATCACAACATATAGGAACTGCTAATATACAGATATTTTTTTACAGTTTGAAAACATTAGACTTTTTCCAAATATGATATTTTTTTTTCATTTACTTTTACTTTTTATTCATTATCATTTGTTTATTTATTTCTCAGAGATGAGTTGCGGCTTGAAGGGCATCCGCTGTGTAAAAAATGTGCTTGATAAGTTGGCGGTTCATTCCGCTGTGGCGACCCCATATTGATAAAGGGACTAGCTGAAAAGAAAATGAATGAATGAATTAATTAATGAATATTTGTTTATTTATATAAGGCTACGTATGAAAAAAAAATACTGCTGTAGAAAAGTATTGGTAATTTACAGGTGATACCTACAGTAGGCCTATATTTAGGCTACTTATATAATATATAATAATATAATACTTACTTTAATGATGCAAGTGTGTTGTATGTTTTTAGTTTTACCCTATATAAACGCTGTAAAAATAAAGATAACTTGGTAAAAATTAAAAAGTCACAAAAGTTCACAAAGGGTTCAGAGGTAGACAATTGAATGCCTGATTGGTCCATTTTTAAATAATTTGTTGCAACTAATGCTTTTGCATTAATGTTAAATTGTGTAATAATGCTGGCAAACTGTAACATTTTTATTGAACACACATTGAAATCAAAATTATCAGCCCACTTTGAATTTTTATTTTTAAACATCATTTGCCAAATGATGTTTATCAGAGCAATGAGCAATGACACAGTCTGTCTGATAATGTTTTTTCTTCTATTCTTAATTGTTTGGTTTTGGCTTGAATAACAGCAGTTTTTAATTTTTTAAATAAACATTTAAAAGTCAAAATTATTAGCCCCTTTATGCTCTTTCTCTCTCTCTCTCTCTCTCTATATATATATATAGTCTGTAGAACCATCGATATACAATGGTTTGCCTGATTACAATAACTTGCCTAGTTAACCTTATATGTTATAGTGTAATTATTACACTATAATATTATAGTATATGTTGTAGTTATAGTGTCTTGAAAAATATCTAATCAAATATTATGTATTTTTATGATAGCAAAGATAAAAATGATTTTATTAATAGAAACGAGCAATAAAACTTTTATGACTGAAAATGTGTTGAAAAAAAAATCTGTTAAACGTAAAGTGGGGAGGGGGCGGGCGCAAATAATTCCGATTGCAATATATATATATATATATATATATATATATATATATATATATATGTAAATGCCTACATTAAAATATTTACTCAAAATTTGAAAGGAAAAAAATCATTGGCACTAGCCTATTTGGTGAAAAAAATTGTATATTTAAACAACTAATGTGGGATTTGATGTAAAAATATGCTTGCAAATTGTAAAATTTAATTAAAAACGTTCAGAGGTTCATATGAACTAATTAAAAATCACTAACAGCTTTTTGTAACATGACAAGTTATTTTTTAAAGCAATTTTGCAGTCATCAAATGTTCCAGTGGAAAACTGCAGCTCGGTGTCAAAACAGATATTTTACTACTGACGTTAATCAAAACTGAATTCTGTTGAATATGTGAATAGAGGCTTCATCACTTCTCACATACACACGTCAAGTAACTCTCAGCTGTCAGCACATTTTTCTGTCACTTACCGTTTCTTACATCATGACATAGATCGGTTTCGTTGTCCTTATATAGAAATGCCCAAGAGAAGTTTAAAATTCAATGGGACTCAAATACGATTTTGTATTTGAATTATTGTTTGTTATCATAACACAATCACCTGTGGCTGAAACCGCTCCAAACGGTTACTGAAACGATTTATTTGTCCTCGTGCTGGAAATAACCACAAAATTACAGATGAAAGAAAGCAGCAAGTTTCTGAAAAATGTTTACTTAATGTGTAGCAAAGCTTCTCTGAATACTGTCCAAGCACTTCTTGTGCACTTTCGTTTCTACATGTTCTTCCACTTTACTCATTTAAGTTGTGCTGTTCGGTTTTTGCATTTGCATGGTAATCACAGATTTTTAAAAAGTTTGAGGGGCATTATAGCATTTAAGACGTCCTTATGGACATTGCTTTGTTATTTTTTTCCAATATGCAAACCACATATTTTGCCAAAAAAATTAAAATGTTAATATTTTACAGTAGGAAAAAAAAAAAATGTGAGTGGTCCAATTGAAACTGCCAGATATTTTATTAGGGTTTCCATTTATTCTCTAAACATTGACTTGCTCAAGACTATAATAATTTTAAAAATAAACCTACTTATAGCGAACAACTGATTTTCCTCAAAAAAAAAAAAAAAAATTAAAATAAACAGGATTAAATTCAAACATTCAAAGTATGTGAAATGAGGAAAAATATATTCAAAACATACATATACTTGATTTAATATTTAACAATCATTAACAAACTTTTCCCTTTGTAATAGTAAATCGTCTGAGAACCCTTTTTAATGCCATTTTATTCATTTAAACTATACTGGTGCATTAAATGATCATTACTAATGTTAAATATATGCAGTTTTTTTACAAGAGTAGCTGGCATGCCAACAGCGAAAGTAATGCCAACTGGTGCAACAGACCAGAGCATCGTCAAAAACTTTCCATGCAACTAATCAGGTTTGCTTTGTGCAAATTAAAATGGAAAATGTAAAGTTCCAGCATGATCTGTGCACCCTTCTCTGACGTAGATGCTTTAACAATAATTCTAAGCGATCTTTTGAGCTACATTAATTGTGAAACTGCTAAAAGCGTGTGTACCTGCAGCTGTCAACAAAGCATTTCATCATCAGGTTTGCCTTTTCCACTTGATGTGGTAAAGACAGTCATTTCTGCACTTCAGGTGTATGTAGCGTGAGTAGAGCACAGTAATGAGCTTTTTAAAAAGCCAGATTACTGTTTTTTTATTCATAAAGAAAAATAAAAACTTCAAGAAATTGCAGGAGACATTTTGAACATTACCCAATCTTTATTTTGATTACAACACTGAATACGAAAAATTCTTGTATCCTTAGTGTCTGCGACCACGGGCACGCTCGAACTTCCTGCCTTTGGAGCGCACATAGGGCCTTGACGAGAAAAGAAAATGTTTTAGTTTAAAGGTTCAACAAAACTTTATTCAAAAAAAAAAAGCCTTAAGCTGAGGAAAGTGTAGAACATTTTCTTACTTGGTGTGGCTGTGAGGGGTTCCAGGAGCTTTCCCAAAATGCCTGTACACCTGTCTGCCCTTGCGGGGTCCTGTGTAAAAAATACAAAAGCAATGAATTTGAGTTTACCTAAATAGAAACAATAGAAGTCATTAGGATGACCAGACAGATTTACATTGAATAAGCCATTACAAAGTCTTAAGGCTGATTTATACTTCTGCGTCAAATGCACGCGTATGCTACTGCGTTGACGCATAGCCCTTCGCCATGGCCGTCAACAACGCTGACGCGCACCTCTCAAAAAATGTAACTACACGTCGCAACGACGCGTAACGTAAGCTCTGTGATTGGTCGGCTTGGTAGCGATGACGAGTTTGGGCGGGACCGAGAGCCGCGGGAATGGCGTGAGCCCGATGCAGCGATTGTTTACAAATGTGGAGTCCTGTGAAGGAGCTCCGGATGGAAAGTTTTGTTTTGTGTTTACCTCATAGTTAAAGTTGTTGCACGTCCGCCGGTTCCTGCCTCAAAATGAGCAAGTTTGAGCCACTTGTACATTTAAGAAGAGCAAAACATCAGCGGAGAAACTCGACATAGAGGAGCATTAACACCTCACTGCCAACTAGTGTTTCGGAGGTGTTAATGCAGACCAACAGAGACAGCGCGCAGAAGTATAAATGCACTGCTACGCGCGTTGCATGCGCCGTGGGTTACGCCGGTCACTTGATGCAGAAGTATAAACCAGGCATTACACCACAGCACATAAGCAGAGCAGAATTAACCATACCCGTCAACCCTCCCATTTTTACCGGGATTTTACCATATTTTACAGTTCTATACCACTATCATCTCATTAAAGGTATTTTTTCATTTTTCTCTTGTATTTTAATTTTTTCTATAAAGGGTTGCAATAAAAATCCAATCCTCCTCATACATGACCCATACCGCCAAACCACCAGGGGACACCCCTTGCTTTTAAATGCGAGCCTGCTCTGTGCTTTAAGCATGAAAATACTTTAAAATAAATAATGGAGGGATTCCCTTCCTTTCCATTACAGGTGCCGCTGCCCCTCCTATACAATCCTCAAAACTCATACGATCTAGGGGTGGGCGATATGACCTAAAATTAATATCATTGTATTTTCCATCTTTTGAACAGTGACGGTATAATATCATGCTATAATAATTTTATTTTTTTTTGGTACATTTTGGGAGGAGTAGCCTGTCCTGTCCCTTAAGTATGTGAATAAAGTTAATATTTTTATAATAAGTAAATTGTAGGTATCATTATCAAAAAGCGACATGGGTGAGTATTATGCATTCTAAACATTTATTTTGCAAAAAACCTAAAGAACAGCAAAAAAAATATAGGAGCACCAGAAAAAAATTGGGAGCACAGACCAAAAATGATTGAGCACCATTGCAAATTGTATTTTAAGGGATTTATTGTATTTTAAAACAACATCAATTAGGACTAACAAAACCAGAAACAACAATCTAACTAATGCTGAGATAACGTTGATATTTGTGTGCAATAATTCCAAAATGCATATTCAATAATTATAGAATATTAATGATGATAAAAATTACAATAATAGTAACAATGAATTAAATTGCTTATGATGCTGCCTATAGAATGTGCTTGAATGCAAGTTATCTGCGGTAAAAGTCTGTTACTTTGAGAAATAAATTTATGGTTTGCATCAAACAAAAATTAAGCACAGCAGTAAAAAATATTTATTTTGAACCATTGTTTTTATATGCATGTCAATTTAATAAATTATATTTCAGCTACAAAACAAAGACTATAATAAATCATTCAATTCAATGCTGAAAGCTGCAAAACAGTCATCAGTATCTTAATAGCAAAATAACATCTCAAAGAAAAAAGAAAAGTCTCACTTCTGCCACTCTTTAAAGGTTTTGTTTTCAGTTTGTGTCATTGTAAATGCTCAGTCTTGTTAAGAGCTGATCTTCATTTTTCTGTGTTTGTGGAAAGCATGCGAGTCAGCCGACCAATTATATGAGCAGGCAGAGCAGGATTCTCGCGAGGAACACCAGCGCAAAACCACTTTTTGTAATGAGCCGCAGTTACAGTGTAAACTTAGTAAAGGCGAGCTTCTTTAGCGATGATGTGTACAGTATTAGAGCTTACATTTAGCGAACAATGAGCACGCACTGAATGCAACGCATTGAGATTAGGGTGCCTTCTCCGAAAACTCGAGTTCTCTGAGACTCGATTGATCTCAGCTGGCGGATCAATATTCACCACATGTCATGATCGCTCTCATCAGCGCCTTTATTATTATTATATCTAGGTGGGGTTAGCAAACCTGTGTACGTTTCATTCTTCAGCTGCTTGCATTCCCACCGGTCACAAATGCTCCCTGTCATGTGACAGCGGAAAGCCTTCAGTGATTGACAGCTAATATGAATCAATTAAGCAGCACGGATGAGCGATTTAGCACGTTTTTAGAAAAAAAATCAAAACAGGTCGCATTACAACCATTATATTCAGTCGCACAATTGCTCCCAAATATATTATGAGGTCGCATAGCTTAAATTTCGGGCTATAATTGATTTTTTACGATATTAAAAAAATCCATGTCATGGCGCAATGTCACACCTGTAATAACTATGACACCGGTGTACTGCCCACCCCTAATACAATTCTCAGTTATTTTAGTAGTGCGTGACTGTCAGCTGACAAGTTCCATAGCTATAAATAGATGCAGTTTCCCAAATAGATTCTGTACAGCGAAAAGTCTGGATTTTGGGTGCGTGTTTTAACTGACACATAAACAATTAATAATAATAATAATATCTGAAGATGTCAATCTTGGTGGGGTTTTCTTTCAAACACAACTAATTTTGTCTTAAAAGGGTCACGAAACACCAAAACACATTTTTTGAGCTGTTGACAGTCGTGTGTCCCACACTGCTAAAAACACTATTAGGATACCTATATCTCGCTAAAAAGTGTAAATTGGTTGTTTTTGCGTTATTTCAACAAATTCGTACTTCCGGTTTGAAACGAATTTTTGAAGCTGCATCACGACTATGAGATAATAGCGTGTATTCCAGCGTGCAGACTGGGCGTCTGTGCCAGAGTGTGTCTTATTACGTCTTACAGTGTGTTGCATTAATGAATGAGTAAGGCTTGGTTCAAACCAATCAGCGCGCTCTATTGTGCAACTTGATTAATATTCATTACTGTCACAGTGTTTAGACGACAGAGATGCCACGTTGTGTTGGCAAAACAAGCGTGAAGTGTTGCTTTTATAGTTTGCTGCAGTTTTGTTTTCATTTTCTCTGTGAGCGCAGCTGGAGTCATGTGTGGATTAACAGTGTACGCGACGCTCGACAACAATAACTTGAGTGTCTAAGGAGGATTATTGTTTACCTGAGAGCTGTTCTCATCTGCAAACGCTGAGATCCGGATTCGCTTGTAGTCTTTTCTTAAAGGGCCATGAAACCCCCTCGTTTCAGCAGGTTGTTTTCACACCTCTACTTTGGAAAAAGTCAGAAAAGTGGGCGTGTCCAACTTTGTTTAGGGGGGAGTGTCGGAGGATGAAAAGTGGGATGGTGTGGGAGTGTCTATTTGGGCACGCGCAAGTTTCAGAGTCAAAATATACACAAGCACACAGGAGAAAGTGATGGTGTTTAACCTACATGGACATGTGTAGTCGAATTATTTGCCAAATTTTAAAAATTTTGGACTTTAACTGCAGTTTGGCTCTTTCATTCAGGGAATTCATTCATGCCCCTCGCAACAAACGAGATATTTGATTCGAGGAACTGCTCTTAGCGTGTATTTTTCATGCAATGTTTGATACCGCACGGCGAATGAGAGAAAAAAACCCTCCGCATTTCCCGGAAACTTAGATGCACACGGCAGGTAGCGTCAGAAAGCCGCGTGTGTTATTCTGGTCACTAAATGCGGTAAAAACCCTACACGAGGTTAAAGTTTGCTTGTGGTGCTAACGTGTTTACACTCAGTGCAATAGTTTGTTAGATACGAACAAACTGAATAAACAAAAAGCACTGCTCGCTCACTTACCAAATCTGTACAGACAGGACAATCACCAGCAACTAGAGCCGCGTCTTTATGAAGAGAAGACAAGTGAATCTGGATCTCAGCGTTTGCAGATGAGAACAGCTCTCAGCTAAACAATAATCCTGCTTAGACATGCAAGTTATTGTTGTCGAGCGTCGCGTACACTGTTAATCCACACGTGAGTCTAAGCTCTCACAGAGAGAAAATAAAAACGAAACTTAACTGCAGTAAACTATAAAAGCAACACTTCACGCTTGTTTTGCCAATACAACGTGGTGTGAGTGTGCAAGCACTGTGACAGTAATGAATATTAATGAAGTTGCACAAAAGAGCGCGCTGATTGGTTTGAACCAAGCCTTACTCATGCATTAATGCATCACACTGTAAGACGTAATAAGACTCACTCTGGCACAGACGCCCAGTCTGCACGCTGGAATGCAACGCTATTATGTCATGGCCGTGACGCAGCTTCAAAAATTTGTTTCAAACCGGAAGTACGAGTTTGCTTGAAGTAACGCAAAAACAACCAATTTACACTTTTTAGTGAAATATAGGTGTCCTAATAGTGTTTTTAGCAGTGTGGGACACATATACGACTGTCAACAGCTCAAAAAATGTGTTTTGGTGTTTCGTGACCTTTTAATAAAGAAGCGGCTCCAGTTGCTGGTGACTGTCCCGTCTCTACAGATTTGGTAAGTGAGCGACCAGTGCTCTTTGTTTATTCAATTTGTTCGTATCGAACTAAGTTAACTATTGCACCGTGTAAACATGTTAGCACCACAACCAAACTTTAACCTCGTGTAGGATTTTCACCGCATTTTGTGACCGGAACAACACACGCTGTGAAACTACCTGCTGTGTGCATCTAAGTTTACGGAAAATGCGGAGTTTTTTTCTCTCTCATTCGCTGTGCGATATAAAACATTGCATGAAAAATACACGCTTAGAGCAGTTCCTCGAATCAAATATCTCGTTTGTCGCGAGGGGCATGAATGAATTCCCTAATTGAAAGAGCCAAACTGCAGTTAAAGTCCACCATTTAATAATTTGGCAAATAATTCGACTACATATGTCCATGTAAACACCATCACTTTCTCCCGTGTTTGTGTGTGTGTGTTTTGACTCGCGCGTGCACAAATACACTCCCACATCATCCCACTTTATTTCCTCCGAAACAGCTGGACACGCCCACTTTTCTGACTTTTTCCAAAGTAGAGGTGTGAAAACACCCTGCTGAAACAAGGGGGTTTCATGGCCCTTTAAATGAGCATAAAAAGTAAGGAAAGCACTCGAATGCTTTCATTATATTGTTAGATGTGAGCATTTCTACAGTGACACCTCTGTTAATGTAATCAAACAAAACATTTAATAAAAGATTTAAATTTGTTGCTTTTTTGGGGCATTTCTTTTATTTTACATCCCAATGTTTACAGGTATGAGCAGCAGCACACACCTAAAACTGCAGCTTTTTCAGATCATTCCTAATCTATTATATCTATATCTATATAAGAAAGCACTTGAAAAATGTTTTTGCTTTTACTTTCTATCTGCACCAAGAGGCACTGCAATGTTTTTCCCCTTCACCTTATAATGTTAATTACACAAAGCAAGATTCCCAACCTCCACAAACAGACTAGCGCCATTAATTCTTTCTAGATGCATTCTAAAGACCATTGTCAGAACATTGTTTGCATGACATTCGTTCTTGTGTCAATTATAAAGTTCTAATAAAACACACCAAGTAATGTGTAACAAGCAAAACATTACTATGAATCATTTAAAAGGTTTGGTTGTGGGTATTCCTTGATTTATTTATTTATTTTTTTGTTTATTGAAGGTCATTCGATTGACTGCTTAAAACTGGATAATATCAATGTTTTAGTATCAGAGGAAAAAAATATAATAAATTCATGGCACTGATGCTTTTGCTCTGTTACCAAAGCATTGCCTCTCTGCATGGGGAGAATACACTACAATCTTTGTGAACACAGTGTTTATGCATGCGGCATGAAACTGGCCTTAACATACAAATGAATACACGTACCTGACAACAGAACGGTGCCCCGTCCTCTGGGTGAAGTAAGTGCCAGCTGATCAAAGGTCATGATCTGTCCACCAGCCTTCAAGATCCTGCTGCGAGCGCGGTCAGTCACTTTTAGAGCGCACACCTGAGAGAGGCAAAGGAGAGACAAACAGACATTTGAGCAGACATTAAAAGCAAAGCAGGTTTATTTTTGAAGCACATTTCGTATTTAATAGTAATTCAAAGTGCTTTAAATAAACAAGAAGCATACAAATAAACCCACAGTAAATTAAACAATAAAAGTTTAGACAAACATTGGCTAATAACTGGCATGTAAAATATGCTAAAATAATTCAGTTGTTCCAAATGTCAAATAACACCAACACTCACACTTATTTTTTACTTTACTTAACTTGTATAACAAACATCTACTGCATGATAAACAATATAGAAAACAACTACATGCCATCTTTCCAACGCACAATGCAGTAAATACTGCGTCATTTAGTAAGGGGTGATAAACTTTGACACCAGACATGACTACACAAATCCAACATGTGTACGACTAGGTGATAATGAAAAGCCATCAGTGCTTTTATGCTAATTATTCCAAATGACCGGAAACCATTTGACAGAATGAGAAATACAGATGAATTTTCCACTGGTTTAAGTTTACGTCTGTGCTTCATTCTACTGTGCATATCAATCATTTTCCATGATGATCAGCTACTATAAAAATCAATGGAGAAATGCATAGAATTTCACTTTAAGTATGACTTTTTTGACCAGCAGGAACCTTGCTCCAAATGATTTACACTCTGCTGTGTGTCTGTTAGATCACTTTATTGATGTAGAGTGCATTGTGAACTGCTCTTTATGCACACAATAATTGAAATTTATAACTAATTTCAAATGTTGCACAGAACCGCAACACATCAATATCTCTCTTTAGTGCTATGAAGTCTTCAAAGCTGCGGCAGACACTGAAGAGCTGTGCGGTGTGTCTAATTATGCTTCAAACACTTCATTCGCCCACTTGATTTACAGACACTATTGTGCCACTCAATACTGATTTCAATACTTTTTACACAACTAGAACATTATTAATTCTGTTTATGTTCTGATTCATATAACATTGGTTAGTCTTTTTAAACAAAATTATATTTTCTTCTATAAGTTTTAGTGTAAAAAAATTCTTCAAACAAAAGGCATTTATTAACATTTGACAATATTTAATGCTACACTGAATCATTCCACGTAAAGGCAAAATCCAAATACATTTTTTTACAACCCCAAATCAGAAATACACATTTTGGAAAAATATAAAATAATTAAGTTAAAAAGTCATGAAAACATTAAATAATACTTGTTGTATTGTCTGCAAAGAAATACAAGTCAATGTAAATTTATAATCGATTCCTTTTTATTTACGTTTTCCATACTGTTTAAAATTTCTCGTTTGGGGCTTTAAATCAATCAATCACTTGTAAATGCTATTGCTGAAATATCCTCTGAACTTGATTTAACAGTATGTCACAAACTGTTACAACTTTTAAATTAATTTCCTTTAGAATTAAATAATCTATTTAGTGTAGGGCTGAGTGATTTGGCAAAAAAAAAAGTTCTTTAAATAAATAAAAAATATGTGTAAATATTGCAGTTGTAGGAATACAGAGGTCTTTTTGCAGGTTTTGCTGAGCCTATAGGAAAGATTGGCTGTCAGCTCGGTTTTGACTTTGTCTTCTGATTGAATGACAAGTTGTAATGCTGCTGCCTTTTTCTTAAAAAGATACAGTGGAAGTAAAGGACTGATTATGGAAACTGCAATGCCTAATTTAACCCAGTGTGTGAAGTTGAGGACTTATAGCAGGAGCAAATAAAAGCACCAGATGTGTCTAATATACAATAATATATTTAATCTATTTTTCTTTTTTCCACCCTTTTAAATAGATAATTTCATGTGCTTTGCACCACTCTCTGTATTATGCCGCCTGATCTGTCTGATTTTCAACTAGGTCTGCTAAATGACGTCATGGGGGCGGATACTTTCATTTTCACTGCTACAGCCATCAGCTGCTCACCTCTGCTAGTGTTCAAACCAAAATATCAGCACGGTTCGAACTAAGATCGGCGCGGTTTTTCTCATGGCAGGTTTTTACATCCTTCATACATGTGTAGATCGAGTTTATCGACTTGATGAGAGAATATGACTTGACAATCCAGACGTGACTCAGACTAATACAACAAGTAAAATCCTACATGACTTCACGCTTTAACAGACAGTCAAGCAGGTCGCATACCAGAAGCGCTGCGACACGGCGCACATGACAGTTTAAAGTATCACATACCAAACACGCACATTTGCATGATATTTAACATGAAACTAATCAGATGGTGCTCTGTGGCACGGCTGAAATATGAACTGCGTCCTGAATCGTGGTTGGGCGGCGCCGGTGTGTGTAAAGAAACCTGTTAAGAATTTTAAGTCCATGGCGCTTTTTTTTTTTTTAATCGCGATTTCTAGATTTAATATTAAATTAAATCTAATATTAAATTAAATCTAATATTAAATTAAATCGTCATCAAAACGTAAATTCGAATTAATAAAAAAAATTTAATAATAAAAAAACGAAAAAAAAAAAAAATAATAATAAACATAAATAAAAATGGCCCAGCCAAAATTTAGTGGATTGTGTTTAACAGCTATATATACCAATATATATATATACACACTTAATATTCACATTTTTCTATACAGGGATTACAATTTTTATACTGCTGAAAATGTATCATGTTTCAAATAAACCCCAACAACCAACCTGCATATTAAATACTTAATACAGAAAAAAATATCATTGTACAGACAGTGATGCATTAAGTGCCTCATCTTCTACATATAGTGTGATTATTTTTAGAAATGCATCAGACTTGACATGACTTGGTGTGCTGGGTCATGTTTGTGCAAATTAGGTCAAGCTAAACTATTGACCACATTTTTTTCATCTCACTGTTGAGTTTTTGAACAGACATATCTCATATATGTCCATGCAATTCAAAATACAAATTAACCCCCACTAGGGCAAAGTTTTGTAACCATGGATCTGGAGCCCTCATAACACTGCACATTTTGCATGTCTCATTAAACACCCGATTTGGATCATCAGCTCATTACCCCATCAGAAAAAAAAAAAAAAAAAAAGAAAAAGAAAAAAAAAACGGCAAAAAGTAAAGTTGATGAGTGAGGCTCTAGAAACACTTATGGTCTGCAGAAGTCAAAAATTTTAATTTCAAGTTAATTCAAATACTAAAATACATAAATTTAAAATATTTTTTAAACAGTTGACTGTTTTAATTTAAGGGAGGAGGGGTGATGTGTTTTAAATAGTCTAGTTATAACAGCTTTTTTTTTCCTGATAAGAAATTTTTAAAGCCAATTATTGACAACTTATATTCAACACATGACAAAGTGTCCAAACATGATTGGTTGCAGTCTGGTCATACCTTCAGTTTAGGGATATTCTGAATCCTGACATCATCAGTAATAGTTCCCACAACAACAGCAGTCAGGTTTTCACGACCTGGAAGCTTCATCTTACGAATCTGAGGAAAGAAAAATTTTCATGAGAACATCTAGAAAAGCTAAATAATTATTTGCTTAAGAATCATTAATACATCAAGAATAAGTCCCTTATTTAATCTTCATGTTTTGTAATCGTAAACTATTTTGTCTTAAAACTGATTCAATAATTAGGATAGTAAACTTGGAGACATTTTTATTATTATTATTATGCTTGGATTAAATGTGTTGATTGGTTGATGTGATTATTATTATTATTATTATTATAATTAAGCTAACATTTGATAATTATTGTATTTAGATTAGAGCATATTGTATTTGTATAAGTATTTGCATTATTGTTTTGATTTTGTGAATGAAGACTTTTATTCTGTCGAAATTGGGATTTAAGGAAGCCAGGTAGTAGGTGGAGTAGTAAGGGAAGAGGAAACAATTTTCAGACCGTGAGTGTGTGTGGTGACGGGTGCTACTGAGAAGCAATTTTACTGATTTAATGGCACAAGATGTGATAAAATAGAGGACAGAAAGATTCACAGCGGACTCGCGTGTCATTTTTTATCCTTAAAGAGATAGCGGCTTAAAGCAAAAATGCCGCTATAAAACTCAATATACTATTGCAATATTTTAAGAAAAAGAGTTGTTCTTTTAAGACTATTAAAAACGGTCTTGATTAAAATGTTAAATTTAGGATGAATTTGAAGAGGATGATCTAACAAATTAAAGCTTTTAAATGACCAACAAAAGAACTTTAAAAGAATGACCAATCAACCTTTAAAAGATTAGTTTATAAAGTAAATTCCCCATGTACTCCATGTTGTTCTTTTGAGTCCATGATTCAAAGAAAGTGTGTGTAAAATGGTCAAATAAGCCTTTTAAGCACACGAATCAAGTTAACACTGTATGTGGAGTAAAAAATTGTGATGCACAAACAATGACTTCAGTATTGTTAAAATCTTCCTTCTTACACATTAAATTATTGTTATTAAATTGCTTAAAATTTGATTGAAGCTACAAGTATTTGGTCTTATTGTGTTGCCATTTCGCTTAGAAACATTCTACAGGTTTAAATCTTTAAAATGAAGCTCTACAAAATTGTGAGATAATCGTATTCTTAAACTCAAGCAAAAAAGGGATTATTTCTTTCATCCAAAATTATGCAGCTCTGCACCTGATTAACACTGTTTACACTAAAATGTTTTTGTTATAAAACATAACTTTTGCTACGGTTGCACCTTCAGTCCACACTGGAGCCCCAAAAACGTAGTGTTTAGAAAACATTTATATTGTGAAGCTACACATTTATATACCTGTCATCTTTACTGTATGCATATAGGATTGCAACTATTATAGATTTTGTTTGTACAATTATAGTCTGAGAAATTGTCACAGTTATCACGATAATTATGCATTCATTAATTTTAAAACACTACTAGTTTAGAAAATCACATGAAAACTCCTTATATTTTGTGTTATTTATTGCTTCTCAGTAACCACATAATACAGCACAAAATAATAAAAACAAACAATAGTCCATTTCTCTCTGTGCTTAAAAATAAGTAAAATTGTTTACATTTAAACATACTGAATTTTTACACTGTAAATAAATGATTAAACAATGAATGAATGAATAAATTAATTAAATAGTATTTGTCTAATGCAGAGCTTGAAATTAACTTATGGGAGCACTATAAAAAATTTAGGAGCACCCACCAAAATGAATGAGCCCCACTGCAAATTGTATATTACAGATTTATTGTATTTTAAAACAGCAATCAGGACTAACAAAAAACAGAAACATCTAACTAATCCTGTTATCACTTATTGATATTTGTGAAACAATTCCAAAATGAATGTCCAATAATTATAAAAATATTAATGATGACGACGACAATAATACTAACAATAAACATTATCATGCTGCCCTGAATGTGCTTGAATGCAAGTTGAGTGCTATAAATGTCCTACTGTTACTTGAGAATAAAATATATGGTTTGCATCACACAAAAATGAAGCATTGCAGTAAGAAATATAGGAACTATTGTTTTTACACGCATGTCAATATAACCAGAAAGATCGGACAAAAGGAAGGAAGAAAATTCTCTTCTACTACTCTTTAAAGGTTTTGGTTTGTCATTTTAAATGCCCAGCCTTGTTTTCATTTTTCTGTGTTTGTAGAAAAAAGCAGGCGAGTCAGCTGACACACTATATGCGGCGGAGAGCAGCAATTTTTGCGATGACCACCTGCACAGTACCGTTCTTGTCATGAGCCAAAGTATCAGTAAAAACTTAGTAAAACTGAGCTTCTTTGGCAAAGATCTATACACTGTTAGATTCTACACTTAGCGTCTATTTGCGCTGAAAACGCAGTGAATGCAACACATCAAGATTCGGGCCATTAGTCAGCCGATACACTGAGTTTTTCTGCACCCTCTCCAAAACAGTCGATTGATCTCGGCTGGCGGGTCAATTTTGACCGCATTATCGCTCTAATCGGCACCAATATTTGTAACTTTAAATGGGTTTGTAAACCTGTGTACTTTTCATTGCTTCTTCCTCAAACTTCAGCCGTTTACAGTTCCCGTGGTCACAAAAGCGCCCCATCTTAACTAGTGTGCCTGAAAAGCGTGAGTGCGTCACGTTCGCGTCCCTCTATTGGAAACAATAACCTTGCACGAGCTTGCCTTAATAGCCTCAGTCATAATTAAACTAGTGTGCGTGGTTATTAGTCTTGGGATACAAACTAGCACACAGTTGGCATAACTGTTTAGTTGCTGCAGTTTTGTTCGGTGCAGAAACGCGGTGTTGAGAGGGCATTGCGATTAATTAACAGTGATGAATTAAAGCGCAATTAATTGGGAAACCACTTAATTGTTGCATCCCTATATGCATAAAACATTGAATCATTTTGATTGAAAAATATGAAACATACCCTGTCTCCCTTGCTAAATATAGATTTTAATACTGAATAATTGCAATCAATAATGCAATAAGTTTATAGACATCAAAATTAGCTGCAGCGCATAACAGCGTGTGTGGTCCGTGATGTGCATTTTAAACGATATAGTGTGGACGGAGAGCTTTTCATAAACAGCAGATGAAACGCCAATGTGGACGTGGATTGTTTCACGTTAAAACAGTTTTAAAACCAAAACTTCTAAAACGTGTAAACAGGGCCTAAATATGGGGTTTAAACTAACCAGTCGGGAGAGAGCCAGAGGTGGGCGGTTGGTCTTGCTCATGAAGAGTCTCCTCAGAATAACCTTGTTGAAGGGAGCATCAGAACGACGAGACAGGAATCTGTACAACTACAGCACAAAAAGCACAGAGGTGTAAGTATACAGAGATAAAAAAACCTAACCAAAAAAAAAAAAACACACACACATACGCAACTGAGCACAAATGTAGTGATTGTGGGTTTTGTACCTATTTTACAGCCTTGTCTTACCTTGACCAAGAGCCTCAGGTAAATATCCTGACTTTTGGGCTCCTTCCTGTGAACCTTGCGGTCCTTGTTGTGTCTGATGTCAACTCCCTAAAATACAACATAGAAAAAAATTACACACAATAGCCATCGCTACAGAAACTCCAATAAAGTGTTAGAAAGAGCACGATATTAAACTCCAATAAACTTACACATATTTACTGGCCAAAACTGACGCATACTCTAGTTACTTTTATGACCAACCATTAAAAACAGAGTTAAACAAAGATATCACTAGTTAGTTAGCACTTATCTCATGCGTTTATAAGTCATGTGGCTCAGAGTAATTACTGCTAATGCTAGCTTAGCATCACACGAATGTCTGGTGCTGTTTATTCTGCATAGACAGCTCAATTAAATACCAACAGCTATTTAAATGTAAATGGGTAACACAACGCGTGCTGTTGTCAAACATATGTAAGCGTTTTAAACAGACAACACAAGGATGGGAAGGCTCGGCTCTGCGGCCCGATGTATGGTAGCCAGCCTTTACTAAATAATTTCATTCAAGATCCACAACAATAGGCATATTTCCTAATTTGTCGGTTTTTGTAATGCTTCTAAACATCGTCTGCTGTAAGATTAGATGAGCTATAACTGAGGATGGAGGTAGATTTCGAACACTGTTAAACTCCATGAGAAATCAAGCCACCTACCATCTTGGACTCAAAGTGAAAAGGGAAAAGGAAGGCTCGCGAGATGACGTATAGCGAGATCACGGACCACTATATGTCATGTGACTGCAAAGACATGTACGGATTGGCGCAAGCCTCCGTGACTGAAAAATCGTGTTCTAGTATGGCAAGCCGCTTTATATTTAACATTAATCTAAAAAAATAACTGCTAGAGTTTTCATGCTACGGACACGTATTTATTACTAGTATATTTTCCATTAAATAATAATTTTATAGTTTTTAAAGTATATAGCTATAACAAGCGTTTACCTTTTTTAAACTCAGACAAGAACACACCTAGGCTATGCCACTTAATTAGCCAAACATAATTTTATGACAAAATACATATTGGTAAATAAATACAAACTCTATGTATCATAATGCTGGATACTTTTTTCTACATTTGCTAACTCAAAACTCTGTCAAAACTATAGCGCTTGTTTTCTGCCCGACAGGATCAGTCAATAGCTATTGACGGACAAAATACTAACATGTATTTATAAATTTTTCTTCGGCTTAGTTTATCAGGGGTCACCACAGAGGAATGAACCACCAACTATTCTAGCATATGCTTTATCCATATGTGGATGACCTTCCAGCCGCAACACAGCACTGGAAAACACAGATATGGGCCGGATTTAACCAATAAGCGAGGTAAGTGGCCGCTTAGGGCCCCAGGAAATCTGGGGGCCCCCAATAAATATCCAGAAGAATAAATTCTACCTATAATTATAACAATAGAATAACATTGTTTTCTTTATATACAGCTATATATATATATATATATATATATATATATATATATATATATATATATATATATATATATATATATATATATATATATATATATATATATATATACAGCAAAATAAATAAATAATTAAATAAAAGTAGAAAGGGTGCATTTTAAGGCTTGGGCCCTATGGCTGAAATTGCTTAGGGCCCCAAAATCACTAAATCTGCCCCTGCCCATATATTCATACATTCACACACGCACCTATTAACTTATAAACTTCTTTACCCAATTCACCTTTAGCAGTTCTTTGAAAACCAAAGCATCCAGAGGAAACCTACGCAAACATGTGAAGAACAAGCAAACTTCAAACATAAATGCCAAGTGGTCCAGCAGGGACTCAAATCAGATATTTTCTTGCTGTGAGGCAACAATCCATGAGATGCACTGGTTTCTGTCACAGACTAAAGACATGCACTATAGGTGACCTGACCTGAAAAGCTAAATTGGCCATAGTGGGTGTGAATGCAAAGAGTGTGTAGGTGTTTCCCAGTGCTGGGTTGTTGCTGGAAGGGCATCCGCTGCGCAAAACACATGCTGGATAAGTTGGCAGTTCATTCTGCTGTGGCGACCCCAGATTAATAATGGGATTAATACACCAAAAAGTGAATAAATCAATATAAAATAAAATTAAAGCATTTTAGAAAGATGTGATTGAATATTGTGTGAAAACAGTATTCAATCACATCTTTCTAAAATGCTTAAATTTTCTTTTTACAAAGGCTTACCCCATTTCAAAAGTATGTATCTTTATTATATTTTTTCTAATGCGTAAACACAGCATGACAGAAAAGATAACCTACTGTTCCCAACTTTATAGGGCAATGGTCTAAAACTCAATTCCTGGAGGGACTCAGCTCTGCTTAGTTTAGCTCCAACCACGTCTAACTCACACTGCTTAATAGTCTCTCTCTCTCTCTCTCTCTCTCTCTCTCTCTCTCTCTCTCTCTCTCTCTCTATATATATATATATATATATATATATATATATATATATAGCAGAGCTGTGGCCCTACAGGAATCAAGTTTGAGAGGTAAAGCAACATGTTCATACTGTTTCTGACTGCAACAGCATCTGATATGAATGATTATAAACTCATAGTTTTGAACTTTTAGAATTTTTTTTTTTTTGACTTTCTAAAAAAAGTTTCTTTAATTTTTTTGACCTGGAGGTGATACTGTAAGTCTGTGATCATTCAACACATGATCAAATGTCTCTCCTAAATGCAGTGGATGCTCAGAGACATATTAGGCATGCAAAGTGTTTCTCCATGCATATCAAGAGACATACGTGATACTGATGAGAACATGTGGCAAGTTTTGAAGATCACATTTCTTAGAAAAGTGCTTTTCCTTTTTTCTGTCATTTTTTAACCAAAGGACAAAGGCCTGATTGATGTGTTTATGGGGATAAAAGTGTAGCACTAGAATACACACACACACACACACACACACACACACACACACACACACACACACACAATCACACAAATTAAATAAATTTTTACAGTTTTACAGAGATCATGTTCTTTGCAGTTGTAGCCTTCTCTTCAATGGGCTCTATGCCATGAACTTCCGGTGAAAGCTTAATGTGACTATTTTCAATTTTTACGAGGTTGTTTTTACAGCATTAATGTTGTAATGTAATTACAATAAATTCAGTTAAATAGACTTAGCCTGGCTGAAAATTAGAAGTCAGTGTGCATATAGCCCATACTAGCCCATGTTAGAAACATGATTTCTGAAAATTACTAAAAACAATTTTCCAGGTTAAATAATGTGATGGAAATTTTTAATGAACCTCTTTTAATAAACAACATGTTTTGTACAATGCAGGCAGAAACAGTTTGGTACTGACCAAGGCCAAAGCCTGATACATTGTGACATCAGGAGTTAGAAGATCACAACAAGATCTTTTCTTTCCCACCAAGTGTATCTTTCCTGGAGTTTGGCAAAATGTGAGTGTACGTGCACTGATGGGTAAAAAACTTACACATCCTCCTCTTACACATTCACCCTGTTATTTTATGTTCAGATTTTACTAAACACTTGATAGCTTATAGGAATGCACTGCTTTTGATAACTATTTTAAGAATAAATACATTCAACAGATCCACTTACACATAATTTTGACCAAATTCAATAATTGCATTTGAAGTAGTTCATAAGCATTAAATACAAATTCACATAACCCTTGTTATTTATTTATTTTTTTTAGAATAAAGTATATCATGGTTAAAACAAACTGAGCTTTTATTATGTAGCATAATTTGAACCATTTAAAACAGTGATGTCAATCTCAATTCCTGGAGAGCCACAACACTGCATAATTTAGTTCCAGCCCAGCTTCAACATACCTATCTGTAGGTAACAAACAAGCCTTAAGCACTTAATTTGTTTGATCAGATATGTTTAATTAGGGGTTGGAACTAATCTGTGCAAAGCTGTGGCCCTCCAAGAACTGAGTTTGATACGTGATTTTTTTTCACTGCAAATTAGATTTAACAGTTGTTTGAAGCTTAGTTGCTTAAAATACAAACAAGCTTTAATGTATTTTTACGTAATGTGTACTATGTACATAGCTGCATATATGCACATTAAGATATAGATTTAAGCAATTCCATGTTTTAAAAAATTCAAAGACAGACAGTTGTACATAAAAAGCCTAACTCCGGACGTCACTCTTCTGTTGCTTAAAATGACACAGAAAGATGGTCCAGCCGAGAGCAACTCCTCCAACAAAAACAGTGCGAGCCGCTGGTGGGATCAGGGAGAAGTTCACAGCCTGAGACACCAAGAATATAGTTAGGAAGAAAGCAAGGAAACATCTTAGAACTGATGGAGAGATATATAGAACTAATAAAGTACCTGCATTGTTGACCAGTAAACCACACCAGTCTACCGAAAAGAGAAGCAAATATTAAATTATTGTGTCGAACTTGATCCCAAACCTTTATTACTTGCGTTTATGTTCAGTAGATGTTGTGGTCTTCATTGTTTACCTTATATGAGGTCCAGAATTTATTTTTCCAGTCTTCAAAGGGATCTTCTGCACCTTCCAGTGTGCTCAGCCCTTTAGAAGTAATCATTCTTTTTTTTAATTATATTCAGTGCACTTGAATTTTGAAAAAAGAGATTCAATTTGAGACTGATTCTTGTGTTTTGTATTTTTCTTTTCCTAAAACTTTTGAACACATTTTAAGTTTCAAGTACAGTGCATCCGGAAAGTATTCATAGTGCTTCACTTTTTCCACTTTTTTTTATAGATTATTTTACAGCCTTATTCTAAAATGGATTAAATTCACTTATTTCCTCAAAATTATATGCACAATACCCCATAATGACAATGTGGGAAAAGATTTGTTGAAATTGTTGCAAATTTATTAAAAATAAAAAACCTGAAAAATCACATGTGCATAAGTTTTCACAGCCTTTGCCGTGAAGCTCTAAATTGAGCTCAGGTACATTCTGTTTCCACTGATCATTCTTGAGATGTTTCAGCAGCTTAATTGGAGTTCACCTGTTGTAAATTCAGCTGATTGGACTTGATTTGAAAAGGCATACACCTGTCTATATACGGTCCCAGGATTGACAGTGCATGTCAAACCAAGCTTGAAGACAAAGGAATTGTCTGTACACCTCTGAGACAGGATTGTCTCGAGGCACAAGGCTGGGGAAGGTTACAGAAAAATTTTTGTTGCACTAAAAGTTCCAATGAGTACAGTGGCCTCCATCATCCTTAAGTGGAAGATGTTTGCAACCACCAGTAATCTTCCTAGAGCTTGCCAGCTATCTAAGCTCAGTGATTGGTTTAGAAGGGCCTTAGTCAGGGAGGTGATCAATAACCTGATGGTCACTCTGTCTGAACTCCAGCACTCTTCTTTGTAGAGAGGAGAACCTTACAGAAGGACAACCATCTGTGCAGCAATCCACAAATCAGGCCTGTATGGTAGAGTGGCCAGAAGGAAGTCACTTCCCACCTGGAATTTGCTATCCGAAGGACTCTCAGATCATGAGAAACAAATTTCTTTGGTCTGATGAAACTAAAATGGAACTCTTTGGAGTGAATGCCAGGCGTTATGTTTATACAAAAACCAGGAACCGCTTATCACCAGGCTAATACCATTCCTACACTGAAGCATGGTGGTGGCAGAATCATGCTGTGGAGATGTTTTTCAGCAGCAGGAACTGGAAGTCTAGTCAGGGAAGACGGAAAGATGAAAGCAGCGAATGTACAGAGACATCCTGAATGAAAACCTGCTTCAGAGTGCTCTTGACCTCAGACTAGGCTGACAGTTCATCTTCCGGCAAGACAATGACCCAAAGCACACAGCCATAATATCAATGGAGTGGCTTCACAACAACTCTGTGAATGTCCTTGAGTGGTCCAGCCAAAGCTCAGACCTGAATCCTATTCAACATCTCTGGAGAGATCTGAAAATGGCTGTATACCACTGCTTCCCATCCAACCTGATAGAGCTTGAGAGGTACTGCAAAGCGGAATGGGCAAAAATTCCCAAAGACAGGCCTGCCAAGCATGTGGCATCATATTTAAAAATACTTTAGGCTGTAATTGCTGCCAAAGGTGCCTCAACAAAGTATTGAGCAAAAGCTTATGTGATTTTTTTAGATTTTTAATTTTTAATAAATTTGCAAAAATTTTAAAAAATCTTTTTTCACATTGTCATTATGGGCTATTGTGTGTAGAATTTTGAGGAAATAAATGAAATTAATCTAGTCCTAATAAATTAGGCTTTAACATGAAAATGTGGGAAAAGTGAAGTGCTATGAATACTTTGCAGAAGCACTGTACTGTAAAGTCATCCGTTTGCTTTAAGAAGAATAATTTCAATCCACAATTTCACAACACTGTGAACATGGCTATTTGGTATGTAAAAATATCATATTCAAATACTACAAAAAGTACAAATGGTCAAAACAGAAAACATTTTTAAACCACTTTATTTTTATTATTATTATTATTATTATTATTATTATTATTATTATTATTTTCAAATTTAACCAAATCTTGTTTTTACAAGTGTAAAATTATTCATTCATTTTATAGTATTCTTTAGCTTAGTCCCTGATCTGTCAGAGATTGCCACAGCGGAATGAACCGCCATCTAATCAAGCATATGTTTTACGCAGCAGATGCCCTTCACAATCCAGAACCGTGCTGGGAAAAGTTTAAATATATTTAATGAAAAATGTTCTCATACTCACCAATGTAGAAAGCACTTATCGTCATAGGGGCAGCAATTAGCTGGTCCAAAATCACTTTAAGTGACACTCTCTTGGTTCCTCCTCCTGGAAACATTCTCTCTAGTCCCCGTAGCCAATGGTAATTGAAGTTAGCATGGAAACAAAACCCAACCAATGCCACTCGTGCAGTCTGGGACCAGTCAATGAAACTTCTATGAAACTGTGGAACATGTTGCATTTCACTTAAGGTTTGATTTCCTGCATCATTTGTTTTGGCATTGTACAGTGTTAAATCATCTGTCTTTCCTTCTTTTGATACAGTAAATCTCTCAATGGAGGTCTTCAATGTATCTTGTACTTCTTGTTCTGTCTCTTTGTCCTGTGCTTTTCCCATCACACCTTGCTGAATAAGATCTGCTGTGGCAAACAGAGTTGTGTATCCCACTACATTGGGAATGTATGGATGGGATTTGAACAAAGTCCATATTCTGTTCATGATGACCTCTGGACAGGGATTAATAAAAGACAATATTTAATTGAACTGAAAAACACACAGACACAGTATATTACATACACCAGTTCAAATAATCATTATAGCAAATAATCAGACTCTCTGTGGCAGCAAAGCAATGTAGACATGGTTCAGATAGTCTGCTCAAATTGAGCATCAGAATTGGGGTGTGGGAAGTTGGTTGAGTTTGAACATAGTTGTTTCATCATCATCATCACCATCATCATCATCGTTGTCTTCTCTAGAATTTATAGAAAATGGTCTAAAAAGAGGAAATCTGACTGGAAGTTCTGTGGGTGAATGTTCCTTCTTGAAATCACTGTTCTGAGGAAAATAACTAGATAGAAAGGCCACAATAACTGAACATACAACACATTGAGCCAAATTGCTTACAGCACCAAAAGACCACACAGAAAAGGAGACTACAATTTATATGGGCTCACCAAAACTGGACTAAAGGAAATTGGAAAATGTTGTCTGCTTTAATAAGTATGCCGTTCTTGTGAGAATGCCTGTTTTTCCTCCAACTCTCTCCCTCTCATTTGCACACCCTCTCCTTTTATCTGTTGGTCTCTTTAGGCATGCCTGCCTTAATAGTTGATTTGTTATGGAGGCATTCAATCATTATTGAGCAACATCACAGTAATGTGGGGGTTTGTCCGGGAGTGAACCCAGGAAATTTCACCCCAAAGTGAAAATCATACTTGTTGTAAACAGCCTGAACATAGTTCTTGGGGCAATGTCTGTTTTTTCTCCTATTCTCCCCTATATATGTTGTCACATTAAGCAAGTTTATTAAAAAAGATTAATAAAAGTATATAATAATAAATGTTAAGGACAGAGAGCTTAAATAAGGGATAAGGGGTTCAGCCTTTTTCTGTCATATAGTGTCATGAGTACATGTACTGTGCTGCTAGGTGGAGAAACTTTTCATTTTTTCACAAAATATAATGGAGTTTCTCTGTATTTGTGGCTTACTAGAATTGTGGTATTAGAGATATTTGTGTGAAGTAAGCATCTTTGATGCTCTGATATTTGCTGCAGTGAGTGAAGAAATGCAGCTTATCTTCCACAACTCCAGCAGAGCAGTGTGTGAGCTCTGGGCTCCTCCGGCTGTGCTTGTGTCGGCCCGTCTCCACACTCGGACTGTCTCTCTCTCTCTTTCTCTCTCATTTGCACACTCTCTATTTTTTTCTGTTGTTCTCTTTAGGCCTGCCTGCCTTAATAGTTAATTTGTTATGGAGGCTTTCAATCAATTTTGAGTGACATTACAGTAATGTGGGGGTCATTCAGGATTGCACCCAGGAAATTCCACACAAAAGTAAGAATCATGCTTGTTGTAGACAGCCTGATTGACAAACTTAACAAAAAAATAGCAAATCAGTTGTCAAGGCAGGATGACCTGAAGAGCCTGTTAAAAGAAGAAAGAATGGGAGAAAAACAGATTCAGCCACAAGAACATCTATGAAATTGCATCTTAATTTCAGCTACATTGTTTAATAACATGGTCAGATATATATTAGCTTAAATATTATGACAAACTAGTTTGAAATCAACTGTTCTGGCCTCTGAAGGTGTGATGTTTCAATGATTTGCCCATATTGGCCCCCTTAATACCAGCTGAAAATTGTTTTAATGCCAAAGCCTACTTGAGTATTGTTGATGACCTAGTTCAATCTTATAAAGACTACTTTTCTAGCAGGATAACTGTCATGTCATGGAGTTCAAATGATCTCAAACAGGTTTCTTGAACATGACAATAAATTTACTGTACTCAAATGGCACAAACAGAGCTTTGGATTGAGCTACTTTGCGGGAGATTTGCATCATATATGTGCAGCCCACAAATTTGCAACACCTTTGTGATGCTATATCAAGTAAATATTGACCAGAATCTCAAAGAAATGTTCCATCACTTTGTTGAAAATATGCTGTGAAAGTATGTATGGCAAAACATGCTCAGTTAGTTACAGTAATTAAAAGTTCATACATGATCATCTACTTAAAAAATAGCATAAGGTTAGGTGAACCTAATGAAGTGGCCAATAAGTGTACACTTCATCAACAATAAATGCAATATGATATTGTCCAAAATTTTCTTTTCTTTTTATGTTTATAAATGCCCATTTATATTTAAATATCACATATATGTTGTACAGTTTGATGTTTAAAAAAAAATAAAATCACAGTGGTTTAACTTACCATGTAGGTGTCCAGTTTCAAGAATGAATGACAAATCACAAGGTCCACTCTGTGGGATCTCTTTGACTGAGTCTTGTAAACAAAGCTGGCTGATTGGTCAAACATAGACCAATCAAACCTGTTTGTTCTGTGGTACAAAGTTCTAGGAATGGCACGAGTAATGATAACATTTATCACCCAGTGTAAGAATGTGAGAAACAAGCACATGGCATGAACCTAGAGGGAATTATGAAAAGGAAAGACACATACTGTAGCTACAGTATTAATCGATTAGTTCATAACATTACTATGTTTTTTGTTACTAAAACCAAAGTAGAAATGCTCACACACATGAAGTACAGGGTTCACCAGTGTTGATCTTGACAAAGGAACATTCAAACGCCAGGTTCTTTAAACCAATGGAGAACATGTGCTGCAATGACCAGCACATGTGTGTAGTTGTACTAAATATAGTTTAGACTCTTCTTTCACACCCTGGGGCTTATGTTACAATGGTTCTGAAAGGTAATGAATCTATAATTATTTAAAATAACCTTGAATGAGTTTCACTATAATTCAAACATCTTTATTTCTATTGTGCTTTTTACAATACATTGTGTTAAAGCAGCCTAACACAGATAAATTTGTAATAAATGAAAAACTCTGCAGTTCAGTTATTATATAAAAATGTCTTTTTTTTTGGTTAATTGAAACAAGGAAATAAAAATCTATTGTTTAGCAGTTTTTTTTTTTTGCATTTAGTCATTCATAAGTGTTTTGTAATCATTGATTTATGCTTTTGAATTACATTATGTGAGCTTACTCTCTCCAACAACTTTTGATAAAGTGAGCTTTTAAATAAATTTTATTAGTTTGAAATTATATATTGCATAGGTTGATCATTTAAATTACAGTTCTAATAACATGAGCCAGGTCAAAGAAGATCATCAAGAGGTGACATGCAATAGAACATTCCATTGCAACAGCAACGCCCAGCAACAGCCCCTTGTTTTCACCATTTTGGTGTGAAAGCGATCAGCCGTCCATCAAATCTTATTGCTGTCGCGATGGCAAGCAGCTGCTTTGTTTTTCATTTATTTATTTAATAAGTCGATTGAAGCTGAAATACAACAATCCAACACTTACAATTAAAGACACATTTTAACAGCTAGACTTGTTTGATATATTTTAACCATATTTGTTTTCTTGAAGTTGTCACTTTTAAGTGAAATTACTTTAAAGGACTTTAATTGAATAGTTTACGCACTGGCATAATACAAATTAATACTGGGGTGTTAAATGAAATTAACATGACTTTAAAGTTTGTTAATAACATATTGACAGCACATTTTGTTGCAGTATTTTATAGTTTTTTCCAGTGTTGTCTGTTAAAGAAAGACTAATAAAGCTTTTATGTAAAGCCACTTTGTTCAAAATGATAGAATATTTCATCATTTTTTTATTCATGATTTTTAAGCTGTCTTTACAAATCATGAAAGCCATACAAACTACTACTAGATAAAGTAGTTTTTGTTGTGGGGTGTACTCATTTTTGTATCACTCTAATTTGAGGATAGATAAAAAGTAAAATTGTAATCTAAGGTATTTTGTTAACCTAATTTTTTTATGTTTTATGTTTTTTATGTTATAAGTGAAAAAAGATATTTAATATATCAGATATAGTAAACTTAGTCTTGTCAAAATTTTTGAAATTGTTTTCATTAAGATATTGTTTAAAATGTTACGTTTCAAAGGGGGTTTATGCTGAGAGCATATAATATTTTAACTCATGTTTAACTCAATATTGTAATTCATTATGTCTAACGGTAGTTATCCGTGCTGTTGTTTTATTGGATTTTTCATTTCAAAATGGTTACCGCTTAAAACTAGTGGCTGTTTCACAAATAGCAACAGAGTGTTCCCTCTTAGTGATTCTATGCTCTTTGGCCAATTTAAAGTCGTACAGTACTATACGGGTCACCTGTATCAGGCCTTCGTTTCCACTGCTAAATGGCTACCAGTGGTACTCCTTTGGCGGGTGTGGGGTACGAAAGTTTTAGTTGACATCATTGGCGCTCAAGGATTTGTCTACAGTAAAGCTATACGGGTCATTCACAGATCATATGAGAAACACTTCTCACAAAACAGATGCTTTACACAGATAAATACTTGTGTATAAATGTTCATTACTAACGTATGAACAGGATTTGATTAGCTGCAGACCAATGATTTAAAATAAGCACTTAAACTCTCCGTCATCGACTTTCGCTTTCAGATTTAAAGGGCTAGCATTGCACCAGACCCCCGTAAGTGGTGTCGTTTGAAAGTGTAGAATCTATATTTTGTGCACATATGCATCACTTTGGTTTTTATTCTACTGTATAAAAGTTATTTACACTTAAATACACAGTATTTTTGATACCCGAGCTAGGTATTTTACATTGGTTCATTTTCATATTTTTTATATGACACATGTACAATTTGTAGCTCAAATGAAAGCTCTTGCCGGTGCTCATACAGTTCTAGCATTATTTTTACTGAATTATATTCATATGCCAAACAGTTGTTGAATGAATTATGGTGTTTCCATGGAGCAGAAATGTAAACAATACATTCATGATCAATAAGCAGCCCCAGCTAGCACAGACAGCTGTCATCTTTTACCTTATGCTGTGCCCTTCAGGGCTGTTCTCCTCTGTTTTTGAGGTGATGTGCATAAGTAATCCTTTTATATGTCTGATGTGGTCCAAACACAGTGAATTATGTTCGATCAAACAAAAGAATAGTGAAATATGTAAACAAGGATCGGTCTCTGTGGCTTGTACAGCACCTCTCATCAGTTAGAATGCAATAACTTTTGCATATTATGGTAGAGACCTTTTTCTTTTTTTCCTATGATTACAGACATGTGCAGGAACCACCAAAATAAATTACAGCACCCTAGACCACACAGAACCTAAAAGGTACACTTTCAAATTTCGCCTCTTTTTTTTAGGTGTTTATTATAACACAGACGACATATACAGTTATTTTAAACACTTTCAATAGTGTTTTATAAAAATTCAAAGGGTTTTCTTTAAAATGACACCAAATTTTTGCATTTAAAAATCTTTATGTGGATTTGGGAAGCTTTTAAATTTGGGTAGGCAAAATCCAGGCGGAAATTTCCAAATAGCAGCAGAGTTTAAGTGGATAACCCTCTCTAATGTCTGATTACATAAAATAAATGAATAAAGGCAACATATTAACACATACGGACCTTTACAGTTTCTGATATGTTACCAATTACAGTAAAACTACACACAGCACACATTTAGGCCTTATTTGGGTTCAAAACAACAAGCAACATATAGCCCACAGTCAGTGCAAACTTCTAATCTGTATCTTTAATCTTCGCTAGCACATGTAATTTCAGTTAGAATGTAATTCCATTATTCCGATTTCAAAACAGTCCAAAAGGTGATGATATTAATTAAACATGGCAGTTTGTTCATGTTTTCTGAAAAAAATATTTGCTCTTTTGTTTTTTCCAGCTTTTTTATTTTTATTTTTTTTTGCATGTCAGTCTCGCGTTTGTTTGTTTCTGACAGGATCGGAATGTCAGAAGCCACATTTACTCCTGTTGGATGTAGCTCATCCATTTTGGTGGTATGCTGACATTATCCTAGATATGGTGGCTCTAGATACATTACAGATACTTGCTGTCTTGGTCAAAGATGCGCCAGCAAATATCACACCAACAATTTGTCATCTTTTGATCTCTGATGTCACCCATAATGTTGTGTGCATTGCAATTTGTTGAACAATATTTACTCTGCTAATTAAACCTTCAGACTCTGCTTTTACTGGTGAAATGTGCAATCAATGAAGATTGGTCACCTGGGGCCTGTTTCAGAAAGCAGGTTAAGTGAAAACTCAGAGTATTTTAACCCTGAAATGAGAGAAACTCTGGGTTTTCCGTTTCAACTTTAACTCAGGGTCAGTTACCGTGGTAACTTACTCTGTGAATCTAACCTGGTCCAGATCAGGTTTTATTCTCTAAACTCTGAGTTTCTGTCAGTCTCCTCCCCTTTTTTAAAGATGAACCGTATTTTTCGGTTTAGGCTTACGTTTCCACCCACCTATTTTAGAGCTCATTTTGGAGATGCCCATAAAAACGATTAATGGAAATGTCATGATGCACATAACTTTTGAAAATACGCATAATAAAACATGTGCATAACTGAGGTTAAACTTTTATTTGATAAGAAAAGATGTGCATAAACTATGAAGTGCACTTAACAAATTACAGTATGTACATTAAAAAAAAGGTTTGTTAGAGATGATGATGAAAATGTGAGTGAATGGACAAACCAGCAGACTGAGCACAGTGTAGAACATCTTAAATGTTGTTTTTGGTCATTGAAAAATGCCTGAACTGTTTCAGTATTATTGTATATTATTAATTACCTCCAAGCGTCTGGAGCGTGTCAAGAGTCTTTGCATCTGGCTTCAAACGCCCCCATGTGTTCATTGCGTGTCAGCATTGTCTTGTGTCTCTGAGGCGCAAGTTCATTTGTTAAATAAATAATTAATTGACGCAGCTTGTTCTACCGCAGTAAATTCTGTTTTTACTGTTGATATTTGGCACAAGTTATTCAAGAAGTGACAATTTTGTTCTCTTTGACTCATTGGATAAAAACGCTGCTTTATTTGCATCTTTTAGGCGTTATTCCAGTTTTGCACAAATTTATGTAATATATTTGGATGGAAACATAGATATTGCCTACATTTTTGTCACACACAGAACAAAGTCACGTACGAGGCTTGTCCTTTTTCATAAATAATTAGCTTAACATTTGACATGTACTGTTACTAGATTAATGGGATTATTATTCTTTCTAAAAATTATTTTTAGTTCTGCTTACCTTCTAAATGTTATATCAACCACTATCACTTGATTAATAAAAAGGCAGACACACAAGTGCACTTTTAATCTATTAAAACTGATCAACGTGTATAAAAGTTTAGAAACATTTTATAAACGTCACACATTATATTACTTATTTTATTATACTTAAATATTTTAATACTTTTAATTAAAAATTACGCATTAACTTGAGCAGCTGTTTTTCCAGGCTAACTGTCTCTGTTTCACTGATGGTTGCTTCTTTTTAAATATATACGCTCATATTTGCCATAACTGTGCATGAGCAGATCAAATTCAGCCGGAGAAAGAAATGCTGATCTCTTTTTTTAAGATGTTGCCATAGTCACTCATAATATCTGCGCTCCATTGATAATGCCTTTTATAGTCACGGTGTGCGCGCTTAACTCTGAGTTGGTCTACTTAAAGTTGATTGATCTAACTCAGATCACCTATTCTGAAACCGAAAACTCAGAGTTTTTAATCTCTCGGTAAATCAACTCAGAGTTCAAGTTTAAAC